TCGGGTTTGCCAGTTCGGATCCTGGGTGCGGACCTACACACTGCATGTCAAGCCATGCTGTGGCAGGCATCCCACATATGAAGTGGAGGAAGATGGGCATGGATGTTAGCTCTGGGCCAGTCTTCCACAGCAAAAAGAGGAGGATTGGAGGCAGATGTTAGTTCAGGACTAATCTTCCTCCAAAAAAAAAAAAAGAAAGAAAAGAAAAAGAAAAAAAAGAAGGCATCTATTCTTTTCCATTTTGAAAAATTTTATCCTGGGGCTGAGCCTTTCAGAATTTAAACTCTACCAAATGTATACTTACTGGAAAAAACAATAGAACAGTGCTTATGCCAGTGACAGCTGAACAGAAATCTGCATTTTTCCCCTAGTATAAATGCAAATAAAAATAGTTGTATCCTGTAATAAATTAAGTAAAATTAGCATTTGAATAGGCTTCAGCAGAGCAGACATCCACAGTTTAGATGCTAAAATTATCAGAGTTAAAATGATTGTAATTAAGATGCAATCATTAATCCAAAATGAGCTATCGAGCAGCAGCAGGTTTTTTTGACCATATTCTGTCAGGCCCACTTTCCGTGGTGGACTGCAATGCAATACGTGTAGTGATTTTACTGCAGAAGTACCTTCATCCCTTACATCCTACTCTATTCCTTTCTGTGAAAAGAAAAAACCATAAATGTATCATCAAATTTATTGATTTCAGATAACCGCACTAAAAAGCATGGAGAAAATACTTGACTCTTGAGGATTTTTGCTCTCTCGTATTGCATACAGCCACATTCATGATAACTAAGATATTTTTAATAGCTGTATAGTCTGGTCCAATATTTCCAACAGGTAAAAATGTACTTTTTGAAGTATTCACCTATCTGATGATGCAGAAAAATGTTTCCCAAAATGGAAGAGTTAATGCACCTCACATATGTGAGAAATTTACCTCTATTTATGCAATGTTTAGTAAAGTTTCCATCTTTTTTTTAATTATAAAATTTGAGGGAACATATTAGTGAAATCTAACATGTCACTTTATAAGTCAATGCTAGAAACAAACACATTCTCATGGTTTTAGTGACAGCTAAGGTAGGTTTTTAACAATCTGTTTGAGAAAATTTGCCTTGATCTTGCACTTCAGTTAGTAAAAGTGCTTTCTCCCTATGGGCTTGTTTACATTCACAAATCTTGCATCTTGCCTGAATGGGCAAAAGGATTCTTGCTGTGAAAAAGCTGCAATTCTCCCCAACTTAGTATCAGGAAATGTACCTCCAACAGATGTCAATATAATCTTTTCCCCAATGCAACATAAGGCCATAAACTTCCAGAACTAATCTAGGATCACTGTTAACTCCAGTGGCTCCCTCTTGCCTGCACTTCAGCGTGACTCCACCTGCCTTCTCAGCCTTGTCTTCACCTCCCCCTGTGCATTATTTTTGTGTTGCCTGGTCTGCGTTTGGACGAGCTATTCTCTCTCCTCACAAATGCCCTTCTCCTCTCCCTCTCCTATCACACTGCTGTTTAAATGTGCCTATTTCACAGGTTCCCTCCACACTCCCAGAAGGGTTGATTTCTATCTCCCTCTGTTTTCCTAACAGATACTGCCATGACAGCATGAATGACATGGTAATGTAACGCCTCTGAGAGGCAATGTCTTGTAGTGGCTAAAGGTGAGGAGTTGGAAGATAGAATTTGAAACCTGGCTCTATCACTTACTAGCTGTGTGACCTTGGGAAAGTCACCTTAACCTCCATAAGCCTTGTTCCCCTCACCTGTAAATAACAATGGTACCTGCATTACTGGCTTACTGTGAAGAATAAATGCTCCTAGCATAGTGTCTGTCATCACGTGATGAGGATTTGGCATCCTTGCATAACCATGAATGGACGAAGGACGAGGCCAAAGACGGCAGATAAGCATATTATGCTCTTGTAATTTGAAGCGTTAACACTCAGAGTGGAATCTGAAATGTGGCCATCTTGAAATCACGTGGTGATCTCCTTTGAGAAAGCATGTGAGAAACTGTCAAACAGTGGTAAACAAATGGTAAGCTCACACATGTACTCTCAGAAGAGCTGACAGGGGCTGCTTTTAGGATAGCCCATCTTTGGTTGTGACACATGACACATGAGAAGAAACTGGATGCTGCACAAAGCCAGGAATGGAAGGCCACATGGAGATGCGCCTTCATTTCTCTGCAGAGAGATCCTGTCTGGTGGTGTGGAGACTCCCGGCACCCCTTGTTACAAAATGGAGATGTTTAGCTAGCAGAGACCAGTCCGGTGTCAGCTTAGATGAGCAAACTTCAAATTGAGAGCCAACCCTACTTAAAATGTCTTTCCATTAGTTTTCGTTTGAAATGTGAAATAGGGAATAGGGAAAAAAATTGTCATGGAATTCATTTCCCTCCAAGAAAGAAAATAAAAAACAAATCCCAACTATTGCCGGATGAACACCTTTGTCTAAAACAAATGAGGGATTTAATGCATTGCAAAACACCACTTGGAGGGCCTCCTTGGCTGAGAAAAGCATTCAAACCTTATTTTCTTAAATGAATGTAACTATCCCCGTGCGCATCAGTCTCAGACCAGAAAACTCTCTGGGTGCTTTTCCTGACCAACTGGAAGAGAAAAATTCAATTTACTGTTGCTTCTTTTTAAACAAATCAAAAGCCAACTGAGGAGAACAAATTAATCAAATGATTATTGACATCCGCTGTATTACGGGTTTCCAAAGAATGAAGAGAGAAAAAACTGCCTTTGCATTTATAGAAGAAAAATTTAGAAAAACACTTTGAGTGTTTTTTTAATCTTCCTTTGTTCAACTGTGCTGAGTTTTAAAAATTCGTGAATTGGCTTTTCACCTTGCGGGAAAGCAAGGCAGCAGTTTTTCTTAAGGAATTGGCAGTGATGTGCGCAAGTACTGAGACCTTTCCTCGTGCCGGGAAGAGACTGGATTGAGGTGGGGAAAGAGGAGCCAGGAGTGACTAAAAGTAGAGGAGGCTAGTGACAGCTTTTTACAGGCTGTGTAAAACAGAGTGTGGTGGCAGCAATTTATGGGTGTGCCAAGGAAAATGAGTCCACGTGCTAAACTCTGGCACGCAAACGACAGGTTGCTAAGGCATGGCGTAGCCCCCAGGCAGACTTTTGATGCCCTGCCCCAGAAAGGAAGTAAGCCTGTTCCCATTTACCCCTTGAAGATGGTGAGGGGTTGGATGTTTTGATGTTCTAAAAATCCCTGGTACAGAAATTTGCCATTTGGCTTACTTTCATTTAGTCATTTTTCAGATTAGAAACATCTGAAGGGAGAGGATCAGCAGTTGAATATTCACACCTAGGAAGCCATCCAAGCAGTTGGTGAGTGGCGGCCCATTCTGGGGTAAGCAGGCAACACTATCTGATCAAATTTAGGTTCTATGTTAATGAATGAAATATATAAAATTGGGCACCTCTTTGTTTTTCCATATGAAAGAGTTCCTGCAAAGGTCTGGATAATAGAACACAATGTATGCTTTATTTTAACCTTTTTCTATTTTATTCTCTCTGCTAGACTGTAAACAATTGCTGGGATTTAGTTCAGCCTAAAGAGTGGGCCATGTAATTTCAGATCAAACTTCTTAAATTCACAATGAACTCTGAAAAATTTCCCCTCTGTTTCTTTTTACTGTTCCCACTCTCCAGAGCGTCAGCACAAGACCCCTGGCCCTATACAATTTATCCAAAGCCTTGGGGAGGTCAGGAGCCCTTTCACCCTCCACCAGTGAATTCAGCGCTATTGTAGGAGAGAGACATTCTTTCCTTCCCTTTTCACTTAAAGAAACATACCAAACCTGAATAGACTCCAGGCCAGACGGGGGAGGGAGCGACTTTTATTAGTTTTAACATAGTTATTGACACATGCTTGAAGACAGTATTTGAAAGAAAGAAAGAAAGAAGGGCTTTCATTTTATGCTTAGAGGGCAGATTGCTTACAATTTAATTTCCATAAAGAAAATTTTATAGAATCAAATGGCCTAACATTTCTTTTTCTTCATCATACATATGAGAAATATAAACTAAAAGGACATCTGGAAACTAACATTATTCAGCAATCAGAAAGCAAAAATCCAAACCATTGATGTTTTGATGGAGACAAACATAACGATATTCACAAAGAAGAAAGCTGTAACTTATTGAAGTGGAAAAAAAATGCCATGTGCATTTTACCTTTTGGGCAGTTCCCTCGCAAAGTTCTATTTCAGAAGCCCTTTGTAATATGAAACCCACTGTAGATAAGATACAACGTGAAGATAGTCTGTTTTGCAGCAGCAGGAAATCAAATTGGTTCCAGAAACGAAGTTACTTGACAAATGGTTTAATGGTATTGCTAGAATTGGAAAGCCTGATTGAATTATTTTTCATAATCACTAAAAAAAAGATTTTGAAATAACTTTTGCCATAAGCCGTTTAGATTTTTGGTGGGGGAGGGTATTGCAGAGGTGAAAGACATCTAATTTTATTGGCCTTTTAACCAAAGTGTTACAATTTATCAAAATTTAAGAGCTCAGTGGTCATTTACTGTTAACTTGCTTGCAGCCAAAATTGTCAGACAAACACAATACTTGATTTAACATTCATATACGTTATGGTGGATTAAACAAGTTAAAACATAGATATACTTTATTATCATATTCAAGTTACTTTTAGTTTTGATCTGAGTACCAATCAACCTTGCTTTATTTAAGAAAGCTTCTGGAAAAGTTCATTAAGTTTTGGGGGAGTCCTAGATTTTAAGAGACTTCTAAACGATTAGCAAGATGTATCACTGACAAAATAACCCAGCGACTAATGCCCGGAGGTGAAATGCAATCATTCTCCTGACTGAAGTCAGGAGCAAGTTAAATATCACTTAGACCGCGGCACACGACTACAGAGATTTAGGAGAAATCATACTTAAATAGGATGTGACTAGACGTTTAGCACCAGTTTCTAAAAGAGTCAAAAAACTTTTTCCCCTTCAGTACTTACAGTCTTTGAAGACTAGAGCTGGGTCTCTGTGAGGCAAGACTTGGGCAATGATGTGTCTCAGGGATTCCAAGGTTCTGTCCATCTTGGGTCTGCCTGTGCGAGCCTGCTGCACAGCGTCCTCATGCCTGAATCCTTGCAGTCCTGGACTGAATTTGTACAGCTCATTGATGCACAGGATTACTGAAGAATCCCTTTTAACATCTGCCAATCAGACATTTCCCAGAATCTGAAGACCCCTCAGGGGGCCCTCCTCCCCGGCTCACTTATCTTTGTTGTATGCTGAGCTAATTAGCTCTAAAGGCTGGCTGACAGGCGGTTCCCATTGCTTTCTTCTGTTAAATACACCCACCTACAGGCTAGCGGGGAAAGCTCGCTAATCAGGGAATAGCTTTCCTCTCCTCCAGATTCTGCCTGAATGGCGCACTGCTCTTTGGCTTGGATATTTCTTTTGGTTTCCCATCTTCACATGTACTGTCTTCGGGTATATAAAGTCAAGAAGGTTATTTCTTAAGGAAATTTCCTTAGTGAAAAAGGAGTTTCAAGCTCAGAATCAGAATAGTTTAAATTCTTCTTTGGTAAAGAAGTGCTATAAAGATTGTGGATGTAGCCAGGCATCAGATTGTGCCTTCTATTTGGATTCAGGAGCATCTCTTTGGGAGCCAAGTTTTAAATCTTTTCCCCCGCTTCTGATGGGCAGTGGCAAGCAAACCTCGTAGACTGTCTTTTGCCTCGCCTGGGAACATTTGTTTCGCTTTTTATCCTTCAAGGCAAATCATTCCCAAGATTGACTTTAATGAATTCTGATTATCATTCACTTCCTTTGCTTTCATGATAATTCTTTGTATTAAAAATTTCAAGAGAAGCAAAAATATATTTTTCAAAAGACTGTAAGGAGTTATTAAAAGATCTTAAGAAAACAGAGATTCTTGTTCTACCTATGTCCTACACCCCTCACAGCACTCACAGCAACGTTAGATGGTCTTTCCACAGGAGACGTCAATGTAAGTCACCGGACTCTGCTGCAGTCATAAAGATTTATACCAGATATAAAAGAACTGATTTCAATGGCTGTAACCTACATTAGATGTTGAAGGCTTGTTGAGGACTTCTTTATTTTTATTTAAAAATTTCTCCAGGGTAGGCACATGAGGTTGCTTTCCAATTGTCAGATTCCATAATTATGTTGTATTACGTGATTAACTAAAACCAGTCCTTTAAAGACTATATAAAAATAAAATATTTTCCATGTGATGAGCTTCTTCAGCTAGTTGGTAGAATGGTGGAATTAATAAAAGGAAACAGAAGAAATGGGGCTGTAATAATAATTCCTATTATAACGACTATCACTTAGAAAATGCCCACAGAGAGTATGTGCTGCACACAACAGAGACGTGGGGCTGCCCCAGAATGCAAAGATATTACTATAAAAAAGGACTTGAAAGAAGCGGCCCTTCATGTTAAGATACTTATTTAGGGTCCCAAAGTGTACTTTACATGGGCTGTACCAAACAGGAAATCGTCAATGTCCTTGCCATCCAGGAGTTTATAATTTAGAAGAGAAACTAGATGCTTTGTAGACCAAAAAACTATTATACACTGATTAGGCACAAAGTAGAAAAGAATGCAAGTACTTTTAGTGTGATATTGAATTGGAAACCAAGATATTTAAAGTTGCTATTCAAGAAACAAGAAAAATAATATGGAATTTTCAATATAAAAACAGAAAAATTAGAAATGATTGAACCATCTGATGGAATCATCTGATGCTAGGATCAATAAATGGACTTTTTATGGGCTTAAATTTAATTCCAGTGGTACATAAAAATATTTTGGTTGTGTAATGTGGTCAAAGGAATACTGAATTTGGGATTAGTAGGAACTAGGATTTGAGTTTTGTTATCTGTATGACTTTGAAGAAGTCACTTATCTTCTCTGGGCTCAGAGTCCTCATCTAGAAAACTAGGGGGTTGAACTGGATGCTCTCTTTCATATCTAACCTTTATGATTCTATGGCTAATGGGCACAAATATTATCACACATTTTCTAGCCTTTTGAAAAGTCATATATTTATTTCCTGTAAGCTGGACTGGTCTTCAAACAAATTGCTTCTATTCCCACAATCTCATATCCATTCATCAATACGAGAGAGAAAAATTAATAGGGTGAATTCAAAGCTACCACTAATGCTAACCAAAATGAAAGGTAAGAATTTGTTAAGAAAACTAGTCTTCAACCTACACACGACTTTTCTAAAGAAGGCAAATTATGAGCATCTGCTCAGAGAACTCCAAAACAGCTTTGCAAAGATAATTTCATAAAAAATCATCTTTAATGAGTTATATTTTAAGAAATGAAAAAAAGAATTCTAGAAAGGTGGATTATACAACATTCCAGTTGGATTCATAGTATACTTTCCTCTTACTCATTAGGCCCAGTCCTTCAGCAGGTCTCTGAAACCTTTGCTTATGCATTTCTCCCTTGTCCGCCTATAAAGACTTCTCACCTTAAAGAGCTGTTGTGAGACAGTCTAGAGAAACAACTCGGCGGTTTTTCACCACTCTCTCTCTCTTTGATGTAGAAAGCATCTGATGGAGATAGAAGATCCTGAGAAACCCCGGTGCGGTGTGTCTATTTGAGTGCAGATTCTACAGTTCACACGTTAGATTTCACTGTCAACCTCAACCATCTGTAGGCACATGCCAAAAGCAAAATCAAAGTATGGAAACAAGGGTAGATGACTATACTGAAACCAAAACGATGTTTTATAAATCCTGTCAGAGTACAACTCAGAAATATGAGAAATTGCATCCAACCAACATATTCAGTGATCAAAACTTACCACCCAATGGTACAAGAGGAAGGCTCAGTGCCAACAGCACACATACCAAGCTCCCAGGGAGCACAGAACTCTTGGAGAAGATAAGAAATCAAGGTGGTATATTTTGCACCATTTCATGCACAAAGTGACAAAACAGTCTATGGAAACAATAATTTTGCTGGTAAGGAAAAGGAAATTCATTCCTAGCATTCCAGTGTTCTTTTTGTTGTTAAACAGCTCTTTACAGGTACAAAAATGATAAGGAGGCGGGGGCCACCAATTGAAGTAACATCCAGAATGTTGGAAAACATCATAAATGCATCAAAGGATCATCTTTAGTTGAAAACAGGAAGGAAGCTCCACCACCCTCTTCGCCTCCCCACTTCATAATCTGCCTTGCCCTGGAGGAGGAGGCTGGGGAGGTGAAGGGGGAGAGCGGGCCTGCAGGTGAGGCTGCAGTGAAGTTGGTCAGACTCCACGTCCGGAAAGATTTCCGTGCAAGGCATGCAGACTCCAAGGACTAGACCTGCAGTAACTGAGCCTGAGCCAACTTATAAATACTCATTTCTAGGGAATCAGGTGACTGAGGGAGGAGGAGGACACTGATGTAGATTTAGGAAGATTATCTTCCCTGAAATAATTTCCTCACTTACCTGCTAATGCCTTCTTAAAAATTTACAATTTAAGATAAAGTAAATAAAATGAAAAAGAATTGGAGACATGCAGTTAAATAAATTAATACAGAGCAAATGGTTTATAAAAACAATGGGAAATGACTGACAGCAGCTCCTTCCAGGTTCTGATGGGAGCTGGGTGGAGAGACCTGGAAGGCCCTAAATGCTGGATTGGCAGAAGAGGGTTGGAGCTGTGTGCAAGAGGGTTTCTGGGGGTGTGTGGGAGGGCGAAGAAGGGCAAGGGCCAGGAGGAAACTGACTTTGCGGAGGTAATGACTGATGACTGTTCAGTGTCAGCTTTGTTTAAGCCTTAACTACGAAGAGACCAGGAGGAGGAATGAATGGCTGGTTAGCATCAACTTTGTTTACTCTCAACTGTGAAGGAACAAGGAACAGGAATGAAATGGCTGCTCAATGTTAGTTTGTTTACTCTCAGCTGGGAAGGGACCAATGAGATGTTGGAATCGAGGTACTTATGAGCGGGTCAGTTGGAAAGGCAACTTCCTATTACTAGACAAAAGTTTAAAAACACAGGCAACATAAAAGAACTTTATCTCAGATATTTGTTCATCGATATTTCACTACATTTAGGAAATCATCAATAAGAATGAATCTGTTGAACTGCAGGAGCAAATAATTAGAAAAGTAATTAATATCCCATCTACAGATTAAAGGAATGTACATTTCATCATTGTTATAGAACACTATAAAAAATGCTTTCCTGAAATAACTTCCCTCCCCATCAGAAAAAACCACTAGTGAGCTGCCCTTTATCCTTGCCAGGGCAGTCAGAGTGGACAATCTTACTAGAAAGCACAATGAAAGTAAACTCCTCATTTATCTGGGCCTTCTGTTTTTTTTGGAATATATTTGGGATTCTAAATGAGCCCATGTCATCTCGACTGTTTTATGTAACCAGTTACCCAGGCCTGATTGGAATTTGGTCTCCAAAGAGAAGTAAAATTGATTCTTCAAGAAACACTTGAGAGGCCAAAGGTATCACTGGGGGGAGGCTTTGCTAGTTCACAGTTCTCACACCTTCCAGATAAACTCAGAGTTAGGAGGGAGAATTGGGATGTTCAAACTTACACCAAGCCCTTGGGTCACGAGATATGTGTTCTGTGAAAACTGAACTGACTAGCTTAACTGTGGCTGGCTGACTTCCAGCATAATATATATTTTGAAAAGGATTGTTTTTGGAATGGATTTTGCCAATGTCCTTTACAACAATATTTTCTCCTTCATAAAAGTTTATCTACCTATTGGTTTCTCTCCCTCGCCTTGCATTTTCTCACAAGACCGCCTCCCCCGCCCCCACCAGATCCAACTGTCCAGGGCAGGTGTTTGTTTTGTTGGGTGTTCCAGAAAAAACTTTATACAAGTTGTGGCTATAAAGTGATCAGATTGATCCTAAGAGAGGGATCTGAACTCCAGTTGAATCTCTGAGCCACTCCTCAAATGAAGAGATGAGGTCTTCTCTAAGGGGCGTGCTGTGGGATGGACACACGCCTGGCTGACACGCGCTGGCTGGAGCTACCTTTTTTTCTTTAAAGTCACGTTTTCTGAGGGTATGAATTGTATGGAATGTTTAAACCTTTGCAACAATAATGAGCAAATTAAAATGAAAATCTAAACCATGAAAGAAATTAATAATATTAGATGAAAACAAACCTAGGGAGAATATTTATTGGTTATAAACAAATAACTTAAACCTGAGATTAGTTGAAGGCGCTGTTAGGTTCAAGCAAGCCGGTAATTTCACAGCTCCATGTATTTTAGATGAAGCTTCCTGTAAAGGCTGTATCATTAGTATACTCTTAATTCAATTCGGGCTGCACTTGCGGATATGCTTGCATTAAGATAAAAGCCTTGTGCCATCCATTTCACACTGTAAACTGTAATTTCCATTTCATTTCCTATGCAGTCATCACCAGAGCACTGCGCTTAGCATGCATGCTGCTGATACAGAAGAAACATTCTTTCTTTTCAGAATTTGTTTAAAGAAGGCAGAAAAGGAAACTGCATAGAAAGGGGGTCTACTTTTCCACAAATTGAAAACTGGACAAAGACCAAGTGAGGGAATCATAGATGTTTCTGATCCTCTCAAGGTACCTCTGCAGCCCTGAGCTCAAGGAAAAAGAAGCTCTCCCCCGGCACCACCCCGCTCCCCTCCCACTCCCCATGAAAAGCCAGATATGTTCCACTCAGGGCTCTGGTCTATTGAGATAAGTTTTCTTGGGCCTGTGAGAAGATGAAAATGCTTATTATGGGAAAAAACCCTTTGTTTTCTAAAATGGGAGGACACTTTGTGGAGGACAGGACTCCAAGCCTGGACCTGGCTGTGAGGACTGTCTCCTCTCATACCTCCACGGCACCAGGAAGACACGTCAACATTCGTGGTCCTTAGCGACCTTGCAGAACAGACCCCTGGGCTGGATACACCACCTGAGTACACTGGCTTTCCTATATTCACCTTTCTGGACGTAGCAGCTCCATCTTCTTCTCCCACTCACTCCCAACTTTATTCCCTCTATGTGACTTTGGGCAAGTAATTTTACATCTAAAGATGTTTTCTCATCTCTAAAATAAAAACAAGGTAATAAACTCTGTAACTCTAGTCCAATATAATAGGATTCTATTCCAGATTGTCTGGCATAACGCTTCTACTCCAGATTCCTTCCAATCCATTCTCTAACACTGACAAATTTCCCTTAGTTCCCCTCCCTCCTCCCTCTAAAATCAAATTATTGCACTGCCCAAAACCTATAATCACTCTTTTGCTTAACACATCAAGTTAAACTTGCTGAAAAAAATTTCCAAATCATCTATAATTTGGTCCTTTGCTGCACAACACCCTTTTCCCCACTACAGCATAGCAAGCACAGTACATTCGTCTTTTGGATTTTCTGCACGATTTTCTCTTTGCAAAATCCTTTTCAGTCTATCTATCCAATCAAATCCCCCTTCCCCAGAACTCACCAAATCCCTCTGGCCTGTCTCTGATCCCCTGTCCTCGGAATTTCCTCAGCACTAGATCAACGGGACCAGGCCCTTCAGTATGGTTTACTTCGTGCTGTCAGGTTGTTGTTTCCTCGTCTCTCCAAATACAGCAGAGGCTTTCTGCTCATGAAAACTGTATCTTAAAAATCTGTGTATTCCCTTCCCTGATATCGCTTTATATACCACCAAACACCTGGACAACTGATGTGTGAACATATATATTTTTCTTCCTAATGTAGGTCAAATCCCTTTTACCAATAGCAGAGTTATAGCAAGTACGGTTTGTTTTTTGATTCATTTATTTCAGGTGTTTTTTTTTTTAAATGGAAGCACATAATATTGTGACACATGTCCCAAATAATATTATTTTATTTGTATTATGAGACACGTTCCTGGTTATGGAATTAAGCCTACAATAATCTGACTCTAAATGTAATATAAAATATTAATATTAATGTCATTATTTACAAAATTAAGGTAAAAAAAAACTTTCAGTCTTTAAAATGTAACATTAGCCTTTGCAAATGTGGCAGGCTTTGGAGTTATCCCCACACTCCTGGTTATTACTCAACCATGTAACTCACGGCTGAACTATACCACATCCTGTCTTATACAGTTGCAAAAGACGTTCCAGCACGTACTCAATAAAGTGAATCAAGGTCAAGTTAAGATATGGCCTGAAGCTCTCAAAGATGTTGTGAGAAGGCATGAAGAACAAGGAAGACAGTGAGCCTCAGCCCACCCAGAGTACAGAATTTGTGACCTCAAATAAGCCTACACCTCAGGGCGGTGCTCTCCCTGAGAACCTAATGAGCTCCTCCCTCCATCCTGTGGAAGTGGCTGATAAACCACAAGGTAGCAGCTTTACCTGCTGAGTTCTTTAATTAGTCAACAATGTGTTTTGTCAGAAAATTTACTGAGCACTTGACTAAAAGAATGATTGTCTTGAGCTGTACTAATCTTCCGTTTGTACCCTTTGAAGATCTTTATGGTTCTGGTGAAAGCTCAAAGATAGGCAGCTGTTTGCCAAAGAACAGACCAATGGCTACCAACACCGCAGAGTTAGCACAACTATAAACTGCACATCTTGTGAGAAAGGCTTATTTAATGTGAACACCAAGGAGACGGATCCAAAGCTAGAAGCAAAATATCCGTGCATCTTGATAAAAACAGGGCGCCAAAAGGAACACTGCTGAACTATCAGTGACCTCGACAATAGGAAAACTTCCTCTGTAATCTTCCTTTTGGTAACCTTAAGTCATTTGAGCAATATTTACTACGCATATAGTGTGTATCAGGCACTGCGCTAAGCTCCTTTCAGGTGCTATTTCATTTAAACTTCACAACCACGCTGAGACAGGCACTATTAAATGTCCTCACTTTTACAAAAAAGTGAGGTTAGAGAGGCTACAGAAGGTTTGGGAAGTGGTAGAACAGGATTTAAATTAGGAACTCCCAGACTCAAAGTGTTTTGTTAACAATCACAATACGCAGCTTCGCGACATTAGTAATAAACTTAAATTTTGTTTTTGCTCATTGTTCACTATTGATGTTTTAAAATGTGAGGGGTACATCTTGTCTGACAGGGTAAACTTTCTAATTTCTAATTGATCGTTACTCAAAAGCATCTTTTAAAAACAATTCTTGTGATTAAACCCTGAATAATTTGTTCAGATTTGTGCATTTGACTAATTTGTTTTGTGACCCATAGGACATCTTAGGTGATTAAGAACTGTGTTTATTTGATTTCTAAGCTCCTCAAACAGTAGTAAGTTTTCAATGTAGCAGGCACCCAAAAGAGGACTGAGTCAACTGAGTAAAGCTGAGTAGGATGAAGCCATATAGTTTCATTCCTAATTTGCTTGAGACTCTTAGAAAATCTCTCCCAAAATAAACATTCTATGATTCTATTAAGCTACCTTCAACATTTTGCTATTAAAATGCTTTAAAGTAGATTATAAAAAAGGAATACCTGAATTTAAAGACATACCTAAAATTCAAAGCTATGTAAATACTTCCAAAATTAGTAATTTTCAAGAGAACTGGCTTTGATATTTTCTTGCATCGGTATTATTAAAGTGAATTAGATAATGACAAGTCTTGCAATAGCCAGATTAATTTTGCAAAGGAGAAAGGGAATCTGCTGTCTTAATCTTGGAAAAGAATCTGCGGTTATTTCCTTTGATAGATCATAATCACAAATGCAAGTAATTTAAGGACATCCTATCTGGTGACTGGGGGGTGACACTGCCATCTAGTGGCCATTTCTCAGAGCGGTGATATCCTTACTCTTCCAGCCTATTGAGCGAGGGAGACTTGACTATCACCAGGTCCATATACTTAGGCACCCATCTTCACGTCTCACTGGATTACAGAGTCTTTGAGGGAGGAACCATGTCTCATGTGTTTTCTTTCTTCCCTGCAATCAGTATTTGTTAATGTTGAAGTGAAAACATGTTCTGGACCCACTCAGCTAAGAATATTACAAAAAACATTTCACTCATATCTTCTCCCTCCCCTGACCCCTAACTCTTCTACCTCTGCTCAGGCCTGTGTAAAAACTGGCAACACTAAAAACTGGTGGGACTATCTCAAGATTCTGTTCCCATGACCACATTACCATTTAAGAAGCAGAAAATAAAACCACCCTTAACACAGACCACAAAACCAGACTAAAGACTAAAAAAACAGATGGCAGGGAATTCTTCAAGTGGTTAAATAAAACGCCACCAAGTTGTTAGAATTTCAGAAAGATAAACATCACTATAGTTATCACTCTAGTAGCTACACTTTACTGAATGCTTATAAAATGTGAGGCATTCTTCTAAGCACTTTCTGCGCACTGTCTTGTAATCCTCAAAACCACCCTAGAAAGTAGCTATAAATCCAATTTTAACAGTAAGAAAACTGAGGTGGAGAAGGAGAGAAATAGGGAGAGAGAAATACGACTTGCCTAAGGTTGTTTCCACCGGTAAGTGGAAAAGCTGTGATTTGAAACCAAGCAATCTACTGGTTTTCGGTAGAGAACAGAAGCAGTAATAGATTTAAAAAAATACTTAAATATCCCTAATTATTTCGACAAATAGCTTTTGGCAGATTTAACAGTCATCTAAATTACCTGAAAAATTGGATTGCTTTAGCAGAATTACTGTAATTATCTTTTAGAAGATATGCATTGAATGAGTCAAATTCAGAGATTAAAAAAAGGTTTATTTATCTATTTATATATCTGCCTTCGTCCGAAGAAGACTAAAGGTGGCCTTAATAGGGATCACTGTAACTTTTTGAAAAACATTCAAGATTTTAAACATATTACTCTCCCCACAAGCTGGCTGCTTCCAAGCTGGATTTAATATTTTGCATGTTTTCCCTCTGCTGCTTGGTAAATATATTTGCTTCTCCTTTCTGCAATCGACGTCTGACAGCTGACTTTTGCTGTTTTGTCAATTGACGTTTCACCTTCTGCTTCACCAGTTCCTGGAAAGATTTAATGAATTATTATCACTGATAATTGACCATTTTGATAAGGAGTAAACATTCAATAAAACAAAGATTTATATTACTAATATTTTTCAAATTTCTGTTAAGAGCACGAATTTTTAAAATTCCAAACACTGATAGTGCTCTATGAAACAACAATAAAACACCAAACTAATTGTTATAACATAGAAGAAATAAATTCCTAAAAGAAATACAGATTATAGCAAAAAGTAGTGTACAGTCACAATTCTTTGAATAACAAGTCACCATAGTGCCACCTAGCGTCCATCAGGAAAACTGAAAAAAACGCCCCGAAAAACCACAAGCTAAAAACTGCTTGTTCCTCTGCTTTCTAGGTAAAAGCAGGTATGGCTTTGTGGCGGAAGCTCATGTTTGAAAGCACTCACTACAGTCAAAATATATCCAAGGGTGTCTTCATAGCTTCAGGTATAGAAACGGCCTGATGGCAGCAGTTACCCATGGAAAAGTCTTCATACAGTTTTTGGGAGATGTAGAATGCTTTCTCATAACAAATGAGCATAAATTCAAATTACTTCTTATCACTTAAGACACACGCTGTCAACGTCACACATAACTTAGATGAATAAAAAATCTAAATATTCTGTCTGCAATAATCTTTTCTTTCTCTGAAG